AATGCAGATTTTGTATCAATTTTTTTTTAATAAATGCTAAGCCGTTTTTTTATTCATAATTTTATATATAACTATAGTTGAAACATAAAACATCAACAAACAAGTTATTTATTAACAATAATATAAAGTGTTAATTCTTTTTTTAATTTACTTAAGTAGAAAATCTAGAAACTAGGACTAAATACTCTTGAGAACATCATACTAGAAAAATATCAAGATCTGCAACTAATGAAGTCTTGCTTAATAGACTTAATCCATTTATATAAAAGAAAAAAAATAATTTTTAAAAAAGAATATAACGGATTTAGATCCTACTATCAGAGCTGGGCACGAGTACTAAAAAAAGTATTCGTAAAATTTTAAGTACGAGTACTTAAAATATTTACTCTGTAAGTAATTTACCCGTAAGTACATTTGTAAAAAAAGGTTACGGTTACGAGTAGTAATCGTGAAAACACGAGTAAAGAGTACGAGTACTTTTGAAAAAAAAAATTTAGTTTATAAAACTGATTGTTTATACATTATACATACTTTGGTCCTGAGATTTAAAAATACAAATACAAATTTATAATAGTATATTATGTATCAAGTTTGATAAACGCCATTTTATACACGAATTTAATTTAGGGTGCTTAAATTAATGAGTTTATAGAAAAGTTTATAAACGAGGTGCATACTATACTTTTTCTACGACAAATACTTATTATTATCTTAAAATTATTTAAATCAAAAATTTGTATAGAGCGCCATCTATGAAACAATAGGGGAATCTGTGTGTCACCGTCAAATGTCACATTTTTAAATTAAACACAGATTATAAAGGTTATAAATCGAAATGTATTTCTTGAAAATTTTTAGTTTTTCACAGTGAAAGTAAAGAATAGTATATTACACTACAAGGGCAGAAAGTGTGAGATTCCTGCACTGCGCGCATCAAGGCTCTCACACTTTCTGCCCGTGTAGTGTATACTATTTTTCTTACTACCTCGGCCGAAAATACGGGAAAAAATTTAATGTGTATACATATTGATGCCTGCCCAAATTTTGAGGTTATATTAGTGTCGTAATCAGAGTTGCATATATTGAGCACACGACTAAAATATTTTTACTCCCGCTATTATAGAGTGTGGGCGTATAGCTTGACCAATGCAAGAAACGTAAACTTTCTGCCGTGAAATCGGGGACGAAACAACGTATTTTCAGTCGAGGTAGTAAGAAAAATGTTTTATTAGGACTTTACAGTGGAGTCCGTGCCCGAATTTAAGTTATAGTTTACTGCCGGTGAAATTAAAAGGTCAGTACAATGTTAATACAGGGTTTACCAACAGCGACTTCTTTTTTGGTTTCAAAATAAAACAAACAATTTGAATGAAAATGCTGTGAATCTTTATTGATATATAAAGTGGAAGGTTTGCCATTTATAAATGAAAAATAATATCATTCAAATGCCCACCCCCAGTACGCCTACATACATCGATTCTTTTGTTAAAATTTGTAATCACATTTTGGCATAACTGAGGCTCTATCTCACGAATGGCACGTTCAATGTTGGCTTTTAACGCCTCAATGGTTAGCGGATTATCCGCATAGACTTGATCTTTCACATAGCCCCACAAGAAATAGTCCAGTGGTGTTAAATCACAGGATCTAGGCGGCCAATTTAATGCAAAGTTACGCGAAATTACTCGATCTGGAAATTTGGTTTGCAATAAATCCGTTGTTTGACGAACGTAATGGTCGGCCGGCTTCAATTCTTGAACCAACTGTACCTTATAAGGTTTTAGAAATAAATCCTTACGCAAAATTCGCCATTTGGTCATCGTCGATAAGCCCAATTGTTGAGAAGGCCGCGGAATGGATAGATTTGGATCTTCTTCAACACTTTCACTCACAGCAGCGATATTTTCAGCTGAACGACCCGGACGAACATGAATTGGAGTTGGTATGTTGTTGGTTAAACCAGTAGATTTAAATTTATCCACCAAATTCCTAATAGCGTTCTCAGATGGCCGACCATGACGGCCAAACATATCAAGAATTTTACGATATGTGGTTTTCACCCAACGACCATTCTCGTTATAGGTTTCGATGATTTTAATACGATTTTCGATTGAAATTAAAGGCATTTTTACAAATGGCAAAGCTTTTACTGACATATATCAAAAAAGTAATTGTCAAAGCCGTCATCTTATCAAAATTTGCCCCTATTGAAAAAAGAAGTCGCCGATGGTAAACCCTGTATAAACTTTTTAAATATTGGCGTTAAGAAACTATTTAATACTTTTGTATTTTTGTATTGAGATAATAAAATAATTTTCACATTTAGTATTATTTTAAAAGAAAGGCACTTTTTTTAACGATTGTATGACATTTGGCAACTGTCAACTAACTTAAAACTAACTTCAGCCCGTGGCTAAAAACCTGTTGCTAACTTTATCCCGTGACTAAAACGCCGTAAAGCCACAACTTGTCAATGTGTATTTAAAAGGTCACTTAGTGTCATGGAAACATGTACGATAATGGTCGTTTTAAAGGTGGGAGTAGAAAAAATAATAAATAAAAACTATATTTTGGCAAAAAGTCATCGATATAATAATCGGAAATACTCGTATATATTACTCGTGTATTCCACGAGTATTTTTTACGAGTACATAGAGTTTGGTTTGAAAGTACGTGTATTTCAAATGAAAAATACTACATAATTGAAATACGAGTAAAAGTACTCAGTACTTGACCAGCTCTGCTACATACACAAAATTGTTATTATAAGTTTTACTACAGACTAAATATTCCTTGAGTATATTCTATTATAAGCATTATTTGTATTTAAATTTCTTGAAATAAATGTGTATTATTTCATTTATTAATAGGATAATTATATCATTTATTTAATATTAACAAAAATTAAATTATTTAAATAATAAATAACTAACATCCCATGATATTAAATTATTAGTACGTACTTTTGCAAGATTATTATATTTACATTTTAAACCAGTATAAAATTGATGAAATTAAATTATTATATATAAACTAGGATTTTTATTATATTAAAATTGTATTAAAATTTCATATTTTAATTTAATTTTTAACTTTAACAAAACTTTAATTATTTTAACTTTATAAAATCGCCGCTACTGATTCAATCAAATTAAAATTTGATCAAGATTATTAATATATAAAACTAGCCGTAAAATTTTAAAATGATATTTTTAATAGTTTTTAAAATAACTAAATTTTTAACTTGTGTTAACAACATTTTAATCATTTAAACCCTTATAAAATCGCCGCCACTGAATTAATATTTGTAATGGATCATGACTTATACCCCAAATATATGGTGTTAAAATTTCATAATCATATCTTTATTAGTTTTTTGTTAATGAATTTTGGCCACTTTTTTGCCATTTCAGTCAATTGCTTGATATTAGGCTCTTTTTGGATGCAATCGGTTTTCAAACAAATTTTATTTTAAACACTTTTAACTAATTACTAAAAAATACATCCCAACTAATTTTAGAGAAAAACCTTTATGGCCAAAAATAAAATTAGAAACGCTTAATAAAAACGCCTTTTGATAAAAAACTAATTCAATAAAAAATAACTAAACCGAATTTAAAACCTTTTTCAGACATGCCGGTAGTTACGCTAAAGATAATAATAATAACTAAATTTTTACCTTGTGTTAACAACATTTCAATCATTTAAACCCTTATAAAATCGCCGCCACTGAACTAATTGAATTAAAATTTGTAATGGATCAAGATATATACCCCAAATATATGGTGTTAAAATTTCATAATGATATCTTTATTAGTTTTTTTGTTAATGAATTTTGGCCACTTTTTTGCCATTTCAGTCCATTGCTTAATATTGGGCTGTTTTTGGATACAATCGGTTTTTAAAAAAAAATTATTTTAAACACTTTTAACTAATGGGGTAGTTAAATTTTTTCTGACCTATACTTTTTATGGTTTTATTCAAGGCGTTTTGTAATATTAAACATTTCTGTGAAATCAGAATTTTAATTGAGTTTACCGTTTTCGAGATATTTACAAAAAATATAAATTTTTATGACGTCACAAACCTCGCCATGTGACCAACATTCTAAGATTTCTATTGGTTGAAAATTACCCTGTTGTCAAGTTGTCTTGTTAATGATTTCATTCGGTTATGTCAGAAAATACCCGAAGAGGTTATGTACAAATACTGTCACTGTCAGTTGAGTGAAAGATAGTCACCAAATTCATTAAGTATCTTCCTTATTACGAGGTATCATATTACTGTTTGATATTTTAGAGTCCAAGATATATCTAAAAGAATATAAAGAACTAGGCATTATACTAATGAAATGCATTTACGACAAAATATGATTATAATTATAGGTACTTACTTTATTTGTTTAAAAGCTCCAATGTTCAATGTAACCAACCATTCCACAAGATTCTTCTGCTTTGGGGTCCGTTATTAATCACTTATCCAATATCAATTACAAATAACAACAATAACATTGATTTTCAATAATCTAAATTTAAAAAAAAAACATAACCCGAAAAAAAGAAACGTCAAAAAATCAATTCTTCTTCTTCTTCTCAACTAAAATTATAGATCAAGTGGTTTTAAAACTAAAATATTATAACGTGGCGCCATCTATCGTAAGAATCTTAAACTAAACACACTGGCAACCATTGAAAAAGCTTGCAACGTTGTCAATAGCCTAGTGACGTAATTAGGAGATTTTTTTTGTAAATATCTCGAAAACGAAATTCCACTCAATTTCACAGAAATGTTTAAAATTACAAAACGCCTTGAATAAAACCATAAAAAGTATAGGTCAGAAAAAATTTAACTACCCCATTACTAAAAAATACATCCCAACTAATTTTAGAGAAAAACCTTTATGGCCAAAAATAAAATTATGAAACGCTTAATAAAAACGCCCTTTGATAAAAAACTAATTCAATAAAAATTAACTAAACCGAATTTAAAACCTTTTTCAGACATGCCGGTAGTTACGCTAAAGATGGGATCAACCCTAAACCCGGGCGATATCAAAGAGGGTGACGACGTATACTTCGAATGTAATATCAGGGCCAACCCCAAGGCTTACAAACTTTCCTGGTTCCACAATGTAAGTATTTAAGGCAACAACTTTAAAACTTCTATTTATTCCAACTTCCCGGCACACTTCTATTACTTGTTGAATCGAATTTATAAATGGATTGTGTTTTTATTCCTGCTTTTCTGTGTTTTTTTTTTACCTTAGAAAGTTTTAACAATACAATTAATTTGCAGGGAGAGGAAATTTTCCAAAACGTCACAGGAGGAATTATTATGAGCGACCAAAGCTTGGTCCTGCAAAATGTCGCCAGGGCCACAGCAGGAGAATACACCTGCATGGCTGCCAATGTGGAAGGAAAAGGAAGTAGTAATCCTGTTAAACTTATAGTCAGATGTAAGTACCAAATCATTAAAATAAATTTCGAACTACACTCACGTGCAAAATAATCGATCCACACAAATTTTCGATGAATTTCAATCGCAAATAACTTTTTTATTTGATGTCGGATTTAAACGAATATTAAAGAATATTGTAGATAAATTAATGGACAATCGCTCACATTTTTAAAAAATACTAAAAAATAGACGTACGTTTATAATATACAGGTTTAAACAAAAAGATGTTTTTTACCATAAGTTTAAGACACTCTGTAGAGTGGCAAAACCGTATATTGTTAAATTAAAATTTATTTATTAAGTCACATCTATTCTTAATAGATTTGTTTTTGGTTCACCTCGATATATTTATTTTTGTGGAAAATATGAATTTTTTTAAAAAAACATTGCAATTTCCAATATTTTTCTGTATGAAGAACTAAGGTGGATATGGTCCATCCATAGGCTATGGAGAATGACAGTGACAGTTTTGTTGAATCATCCCATACTTGGATATGTCATACACGGCTTTCAAAAGCTATCAAATTGTTTTTTGCAAATTAATGTTTAAATTTTGAGGTGTCTTCTTACTTTATATAATGGATATGTCTCCGACTAATGTTGCCAAGAGATATTAATTTAATCCAGGATGGACGGTCACAGTATTACGTGGCAAGTGTTTTAAACGTCATAAGAAGTAAAGTACAAAGGGCAACATCAGTCGGAGACATTTTTAAAAGTAACAAGACACCTCAAAATTAACACATTCATTTACAAAAAACAATTTGATAGCTTTTGAAATCTGCATATGACATGTCCAAGAATGGGATGATTCAACAAAACTGTCACTGTCATTCTCCATATGCTATGGATGGACCATAGCAACCTTAGTTCTTCATACAAAAAAATATTGGAAATTGCAATGTTTTTTAAAAAAATCCATATTTTCAACAAAAATAAATATATCGAGGTGAACCAAAAACAAATCTGTTAAGAATAGATGTGACTTGATAAATAAATTTTAATTTAGAACAATATACGGTTTTGCCACTCTACAGAGTGTCTTAAACTTATGGTAAAAAACATATTTTTGTTTAAACCTGTTATTATAAACGACGTGTATTTTTAAGTAATTTTTAAAATGTGAGCGATTCTCCATTAATGTATCTACAATATTCTTTAATATTTGTTTAAATCCGAAATCAAATAAAAAAGTTGTTTGCGATTGAAATTCATCGAAAATTTGTGTGGATCGATTATTTTGCCTGTGAGTGTATTATAAAATAACATCATATATAAAAAAGAAAAATGTGGGATCACGACCAAAAAAGTCCTAAACTTTTGAGAAAGATGACATTTCAAGATTCATTAAAGAAGCACCAGATGAAATTTACCCTTTTAATAAATGTTGCCACTATTTTTGGATTGTCTGGTGCTTGTAGGCGAGAAGAGCTCTCAAAGATAATGATTGATGATACCTATAGAAGATAAAGAAAATTTGGCAACCGTGAAAATTTCGGACAGTAAAAATTACACATCAAGAATCTTTGTGATATCTGATGAAATCAATAATGGTCATTACTTACAACTGTTTCTAAAATATTCAAATTTGCGTAAACCAAATACCCCACACAAGCAGTTTTTTTGTCAATTATAAAGTTTTCGTAGATCCTCCTTTGCACTTATATAAATAATTTTGAGAGGAAATCCTGGGTTTAGTTTTTACCGGTTTCCCAATAAACATAAATCCGAATAAAGAAATAGTCCCTGTAAATATAAATTGTACCTATTATATACAATAAATACACATTTCAGTTCAGTAAAAATCATAAAACAAATAAGTCGTATAAATTCAAACTCCATTTAGCATTATTAATTCAATTTTCTTCATGTAATAATAAGTTTTTAACCAAAAAACCTAATGAATGATGATTTCCCCTAAAAACTCCCCTTGAACGTTAAAAATTCTAAATCTAGGGGGAAAACCACTGATCTGGCAACACTGCATTTGAAATGTATTCTTGTAACATTAAATTTTCGTAAAAAGCTTTTTTGTATTGTTGAAATAAGTAGGCATACTAAAGTTTCAATTAGTCTTTGTTAGCGCTCGCTGATAATGGCGGTAGATATAAGATTGTGTAAACACAAAAGTGAAAGAACTAAAGAACAATTTCCTTAAATAAATAATATTAATGAAAATGCCGTAAGTTAACAGCCCTATCTGGAGAGATTATAACCCCACGTTGCGAGCCTGTTGGCCTAAAACTTTCAACAGCGTGTTTCCGTGGTGGTTATTTCAAGAGCTAAACGACTTTGCAAATAACTTCCTCATTACTTACTTTGAACGTTTCTTTTGGTTTTTTTTTCAACCGTACGATTCCTAATTACATCAAGTCGCAGAATGAAATAAACAATTTCGGAAAATTCTTCGGCTATAAATCTAACAAGACAAGAACAAAGTTAATTAAAATTACAGAAAAATATTTCTTTTTTTGTTGCTATCTATCTTGCGTTTGCAGCCAAGTCAATAGACTCTTCCAGTAATATATAGCTGCTCGTCTCAGTTTACTTTTAATTAGACAACTGTTAAAATACTTAGTTTAAAAGCCAATAGAAGATTTGTTAAAATTATGTTCTTGTAATTGTTTTTTTCATGTTCGAACAATAAATCCTTTACAAAGTTTATCTTTCGTTATTTTTGTTTCAAATTTGGAACCTCTAGGTTGCCATTTACTGGTTCCTCAGAACTGAATTTCGAAAGTACAAAAAATACCATGGCTTATAAAATTTAATAAAAATAAAATTCATGGTGCACAGTAAAAAAAAATCAACTCTAAGCAACACTAATTAGAGTTCACACAGGTCCACACTAAATAGTGTTGTTTTATAACACTACAATTAGAGTTAATTTGTAGTGTAATTTTCCCCAAGTAAGCAAGTATGATTTAACACTATAGCACTGAGGATAAAGTAATTTTACACTGTATTAAAAAGTGTTAATTTACCTAAAATCGTGTACTTCTACACTTCCCGGGTAAAATCCCAGTGTAAATTAACACTACTTTGTAAAAGTTCTAATTTTAGAAAGGTACGTTTTACTCTTTTAGTGCAAACTTCTAGTGTAAATTAACACTATTATTTGAGTAAAACCTATTGGTGGTAGTAAATAAAACGAAAAGGTAAATAAAGAAAAACATTTATTTGGAACAAAAATCTATGACAATTATCAAAATCGGTGCCTTTTAAAATATAATTTTATATTTGAGTCGCTTAAGCAAAATGGTTCCTTAAAACGTAAAAGTTTAATATTAATGCAATGTTTTACTGGCTGTCAACTTGTAAGCAATGAATTATCTTGAGAATTCATCAGTAATTCATTTTTCTGTTATAAAATATGGGTGATCCCATTGGTAGAGAGGCGTCAGGCGGCTGTATGTCGGGGATTTACCACACGTGTACAAATTTTCCATAAAATTAATAAAAATGTAGGTATAGGTTAATATAACAACCATTACGCTTAAAAATAAAAAGTAAAGCAAATGTGTATGTATTTATATATATTATTAATGTTACAAGTACCCGACCTACTGCCGTAAATTATTGATATATAATATAGGTCGGGTATGGACATCCTTTTAACATATTGGTATTTATTGAGTATTAAGGCTCAAAGAAAAAGGAAGTATAATACTTACCAAAAAATAAGAATGTGTGGCTTATGGATTCACCGTAATTAAAATCTAACTGAACAAAAATGCCACACTTCCACAACGCGGTATCTCCGGATATGCACTGCGTAGGTAGATTGGTACCAACCAAACATTTTAAAACGCATTTCGGTTATTACCAGTTTTTTCAGTCTATTTTGCCACTATTGATGTAATTTAACTTTAATTGTGATACAATGTGCACTAGTAGTGTAAAGAAAAAAGTGCTCTTAGTAACATCAAAACAGACAAAGAAATTGGCATGCATTGTAGTGTACATTTTGTCACTATTTAACACTCGCATTAAGTTTTTCTACCCTTTTGATTTATTTTAATAATAAATAGTGTGAATGTACCAATGAATCATTTTCTTTAAATGTGTTTAATAAAGTTAATAAGCACTAAATGCTACCTAGTGTATTTTGTAGTTTAACTTTTACACTTACAAATCAACTAATATTTTTACCCTTACACTAAAAAAATTACACTGGTAAAATTTTTTACTGTGTGTACTTAAAAAAATGAATCTTTATATTAAGCGGGCGACATAAATAAATACAATTTCAAGCATAACATTTGCATCGCTCCATTAAAATGATTATTCGCGAGGGTGTGTAACAATAATTTGTAAAGCAAATATTATTGTATTCCACCAAGAAACCAGCATGTATATGTTGACCCATTTTCAGTGTAACAATGCCATCGTTTACGTATCATTTTAGCCAAACTGCTATCGATTAGAGAGGTGAAATTACAATAACAATTTAGTTTTAGTTTTCTCGAAATTATTTTAACTCTTACAAAAGCGAGTCTGCAGGATCTTAGTGCGATATTTAGCAATATAACCGGGATTCGTTGAAACATTAGAAAATAATAGTTTGTATTTTAATATCACTAAAAAAGAATGTTCCACCTCCAAATTTATATAAAGTTCTTTTTTTTATCTGAACTGCGGCAACGTTGCAAATTTAGGGTTTTGGTTGGTAAATACAGTTGTCAAGTTGGTCGCAGTGATTAAAACAAACTAAGCTAGTTATAAATCTAATTGTGGTTATGTATAAATTATTTTAGGTTACATTGTGCAGTTGTCAAGTTGAGTTGTCGAAATTCGTAGTTAAAAATGCAATTAATTTGGCTTTGGTGGTGCTTGGATAAGTAAAATCATATAAAAAAGTAGTTAAATATAGGTTGCTTTACGGCCCAGAAGAGAAAGTATTCCTAGCGGATAATAATATTCGCTTTGAAAAGAATTTATATAAAAGAAATTAAAATTTTTTGTGAA